TTTTTTTTTTTTTTAATGATTATTATAACTCTAAGTGATCGAACGCTAAAATTGTTTCCATTTAATTATTGTTGATTGTTATGTACGTTTGAGATATTTATAATTCCAATTTAATTCATATCTGTTAATCGTTTATTTGAGAGGGTTTCTAAGAAAATGAAAGAATAAAAGACGGCACAGTTTCGATAGTAAGTAGCTTCGGCGTAGTAGTAACGACGACGAGTACATAAGATTTAAATATACTTTTGCATATTTGTACGATTTTCGGCAAGATACAGTTTCCAATTAAATCGTAACATTCCATAGATGTAAAGATCTTGACAAAGCTTAATGAAATTTCCAAGCAACGTAAATAACTATTTTGAGATAATATTACGAAAGTAATACATTTACAAATATAACAAATTCCAAAATGCAGATGTTGCAGCATATTTTTCTCAAAGTTTAAAAGTCAATTCTTCGACACATAAATAGCAAAACACGCACAGTAATAGTTTATATATGATGTGAACTTTTTGAGAGAATTTTTTATTTTATTATGCATAATATCCAAAGGTAACACGACTTGTTACATTCCGTCAGAATTTCAAAATACGCTCAATATTATAAATAAATACGTAATATGCTTCGGTACGACCGCTTTTATTATAATGCACAAGTGAATAAAATAGCAATATACCAAACGTAGGCGATGCGTCACTTGTTTGAATATGTACAAAAGAATATTAGGTAATATAAAAAGAATTAAAGTTACAACTGTGACGATTAAATTGATACTTAACTGATACTTAATATATACTTTTTTAAATTAACGAAAATGGAAACTGAATTCGCAAATCCGGTTATTATAAGCTGATACTCTAAATTTTGGTTCACAATGAAATTGTGCGTTATAATTAAATCGGCTGTAACAACGATCTTTCACATTGTCTATTGCCATGCGATACAAAAACAAAATAGATATATAAAAGACTAGTTATATCTTTCAATCAAATTTTAAGACGTATTTGCTACAAAGTTTTGGTATACAAGTTTGGTAAATTGTATACAAATTTTCTATGCGCCTGGATGATTACATATCTCACGTTTCTTAAAAAATATATAATTATATTTTCACTTTTTGTACGTTTTTAATATTATATATTATCAATCGAAAAAGATGTAAATATTACTGTAACATATGAAGTATGCTAATAGTTATAAAGAAATGTAATTACTAATTGTAGATCAATTGCCAATGTGATGTTTAAGTAAGTGTAACATCTATGTGTTATAAATATTAATTACATATTACTTGCTGCGTCAAACTGCGAAGAAAAAAATTTCGTGCATTTTCAACAAGAAAAACTTATATATTTTTTTGCAAAAATGTAAATATTGTGCATTTTATTAAGTAAGTTATGCGAAATAGACATGTGCTTTACTTTGTATAAAATTTATTACAAATAAATATGCTAATGTATTGTATAAATACATATATATGTATGTACATATATATATGCAAACATAGACATATAATTTTTTTTCGTATTTGTGTGCCATTTTTGTTTAATTGATTTAACTGCACAATACATTTTATTTGTAACAGGTAGCACATTTGTCTTGAAACATTGAAATAATTTAAACAGAAACGAAAGGAATATAATGAGTTGTGAAAGTTCATTAAATAAAATAAACATTCTCTGAAGTTTTATTTATTGTTTATATGAATAGACTACATTATTACAATATTTTATATAAAATATGTTTATATACAAATATACAATATACAAAAGGCACAATATATCTACATTCTTTAGACCATGTACAGAAAAACAAAATCTGAATATACAAGTGACTATCAATAACAAATAAAACAGTTCCATTGCTATGTATCAAAGTGAATGTAAACGTTTTAATTATTCAAAAATAGCTTCACGTATAAAATACTTAAAGATTATTTGCAAATTGCTTGCAGTATATACTTATGAATCTGTCGAAGGAGAAAACCATTCTATTTTAGTCAGTATTATACAAACTTACAAAAAAATATATCATTATTGTTGTATCAACTTATTGCGAACGTATGTATTTGATTTCTTGGTAAATCACAATTTAACAAGAATCAAATGTCGTTCACTACAAATTAATTACTTTTACTTTAAAGAAAAATTTTCTCGTAATATATATCTTTTTTAGTCATTTTCGCTAGGTTACTAATATTTTTGCATAGTCACATGGAGAAAACAATTTAAATAAAATGATAATTAAATATGTAAAAATAATAATTTCGTATAAATGTATAGACATAATAAACTACATATAAAGCTACCTCACAGTTTTCGTTGTAATTACATACTATCTATTGCGTACGAATGCATTTTCATGATTTGAGAATGTAGGTATGTGTATAGAAGTACCTAATGTAAATATAATTATAAATTATAATAAAATCGTTTTAAACGCGGGCACGTGTCACGTAAAATATTGCTGTGTAGTCATCAATAATGTAGCAATCGTAAAACATATAAATTCTACTTTTTCATGTAGACCGAAATATATAAATTTGATTAAATAGAAAAGAGATTAAAGTAATCTCTGTATTTCTAAAGATATAAAAATCATTCTCTTTTTGCTTGTCGCAATGCTCTATCACAAAGTTAGTTACATATGTTTTTAACAGTCCGCGTTACAATAAAATTTTTAAACATATTACAAGTATAGCTCGCAATATTTCTCATCATCTTTCTCATTATTATACAACAGTTTAGAAGAAAACTTGTATAATACATAAATGCGAAGAAATTGATGTAAATTCAATTCATTAATGCTTTCTTTCATATTCGTTATTATCTTTATTTAAAAAAAAAAACAAATGTTACTTGTATATCACTGAAAAATGAATTTATGGAAAATTTTAAGTATCGTGACAATTTTCTATAAAGATGTTACATATACTCATATAAATTTATGGGCATAACTGATGAAGCATCACGAGTACATTCTTCTATTAAATATTCCTATAAAAAATTGCAAATATTATTTCCAATGAGTATTACTGCACAACGTTTGTATATAGAGAGACATATAAACTGTATAAAATCATGTTTTGAATTTATCTGTTAAAACAATGCTTCAATGGAAGCAATAATTATGTTTCTATATTATAAAAATGTAATATAAAAGTACTCTAAGAATATTAATTAAAACCTGATTAACTTTATAGGAATGTAAAGTCAGTTAAAAAATATATACCAATCATTCAAAAATTTTACAATAATTTTACACGATGCAAATTATACAAAAATTCAATTTCCTAACATTTTGTATTGCCGCACTATATCTAAAATCTTTTATATACAAATATAACAAAATATTAATTTCTCAGTTCTATTAGATCCAAAAACAATCGATTCAAAATTACAGTTTTTTTAATATTCTAAGTTTTTCAGTTTTCCTTTATACAAAAAATAAAACAAAGATTTTATGTAATAAACGACCAAGATTGGAAAGTATGCAATAACTGTATGTATATAATTTATTTAATATGTATATAATAATAATATGTATATAATTTATTTTTAAAATAGTTATAAAGTTAAACTAGTGAAAATAAATTATATAGACATTAATTAGTTTTAAAACTCTTTGGTTTCATCAGAATTATTATTACATAAAATCCTTGATTCTAGTACTACTTTCTTCAAATTGTTTCTCTAATTGAAAAAATTGTTCCCTATTATTAGAAATTTTTTAATTTTCCAATTTTTATAACATAAAATATTTATCTTCATCAATTCGTTATAATCTTCACCTTGAATTATTTTCAAAATAATAATATAAATGCAGTACGATTTACAAAATACATGGGAACAAGAATTTTCTATTATAAAAAAAGACTGATATAGTCATAAGCCATATATTTATAAATTAATAAGCATAATCCTGAAAAATTGCTATTAAATAAAAAAACCAATTTTATTTCAACTTTTGTACATGAAAAATAATAATACTGATCAACATCATTTTTTCTTAGGGAGAATAATGTCAAATTAAGGATCAACTATCAAAATTTTTCTTATTAAACTTTTTATATTTTTTTATTTATAAAATACTGAACTAAAAAGTAATGAATTACTTACTGAAATTATAGTTCAATTTTTTCAATTTCTCAATAGAACAAAACTTTAATTCCCAAAAAATGTATACTCAAAAATATGAAAGTACAAAAAATTATGTTTTTACCTTGATATATTAGAATTCTGCATATAATTTTTGCATCAAACCAAAAGAAAAAGAGAAGTACATAAAAATATCAACAAATTTTGCACACAGCAATTTGAACACAAACTGGTTAGTTTCATTTGGTTTATATGGCATGGATCTAGTATTTGGTTTTCTTGTTACTTAATATTCAATGTTAACAGAAATATATTTTTAAAGATAGAGCAATTAATCTTAAATATAAAATAAGTTATGTTTGTGAGTACTGGTTATGTCACCAGCATTTCTACTATATGCTTTAATATGAAAGAGAAGCACTGGATTAAATATCTGTACAAAATAGAAAAATCTTAGCTAAATTATTAGCAAACTGATTCTTTTTTTTATACAAACATGTAAAACCGTTGTTATCGACAATGTATAGAATACAAGATTATGTACAATAAATTGTATATAATAGTCTTCTTACAACCCTCTAGTAATCAATATTCATCAAAAAGATGGAAATATATTATCAATGTATATGTATATATTTATATAGTGTATAGAGTATTAAAAATTTTTAATACATGTTTTCATTAGGCAGTTTTTACTTCTCTTGTTGTATAAAACTATTATGAAAACATTTACTTTTCCGTTATAAACGAAAATCACGAGATTTACATTAATACAATATACATAATATATATATATTGTCTTACCAGAATATTCTTTCCTAATCGACATTTTAATACTTCTTTGACTATAATTTCACTTCACTATGTATCAAACACTAAATGTTGAATGCATACGCTTGGGTCGAAAGTTATTTCACTCTTTATGCACATTTATCATTATTGGAGCATTAACGATTCCAAATTTCTATGTAAAATCGTGTCCTTGACAGCATTAAATACAACTTTTATGTTTTCCGTATCCACGGCAGTAGTAAAATGGTGAAAAAGTGGTTTTCTTGGATCTCTTTTAACAGATATAAACATTTCAAGTATAAAATTCTGCACATCCTTCATGGAATGTGAATCTCCTGTGAATTGTGGAAAGTACCAACGGACATTCGTATCGGGCGATCTTACTTTTTTGTCTAACAAATCAGTTTTATTTAAAAATAGAATGATAGATACTCCGCCAAATATCATATTGTTGACTATTGTATCAAATATATTTCTAGATTCTTCCAACCGATTTGTTCTTCTGTAACATTAATAGATCAATTTACTTGATGATTCGATTCTCTTAGTACATGAACTTCAATGAAACATACCTATCTTCTAACAACACCTGATCAAATTCAGATGATGAAACAAGAAAAAGTATCGAGGTAACACAATCGAAACACTGGTACCACTTCTGTCTCTGAGATCGTTGACCTCCAACGTCAACAAACAAAAATGGGATGTTATTAATTTGTATAACAAATTCTGAAATTCCCTTTGTAGCTTTTCTACAATGTAAGATATCTTGGTGCGTAGGTTCATAATCCTGCAAATATATGTTAATATTGAAAAGGTAAGCTAAACTGTTACATACATACGAGACTAAAATAAATAAAATAAATTTTTCAGTTACAAAAGATTCCATAATAAAGTTAAAATAACATTACCACTCTTGCAATGCTGTCAAGATTATCCAAGAAATATTGAACTGAATCGCTCTATAAAGAAAAAGTATATTTTTAAAGTATATGTATAACACAATATGAGATACATTGTAATTACTGTGAAAATTAAAGTATGTCTTACTAATTGAAATTCTCTTCTTCTATCAAAGGCCTTTTTAATCGATGCATCTTTCCATAAACTTTGTAAAGATGGTACATAACGAAGAAACAATCTAGCATCCAATACCATGGTATTTTCAAACTTCAATAATTGATAACCAATATCATAATTCTTAGGGTTCTCCCATGGAATATTCAACTTGTCGCGAGCATCTACCAACACCTTCATTCCTTTAATTATATTTTGGTAAATAATATGTTGATACTCTTTAATTAACTCAGGCTGAAACAAATAATTATTACAAGATATCACAAAGGAACAACATACAATTCTTTCAGAAATACAAAATGCTATTAAAAGAAGCTCGCAACTAAAAGGCTATCTTTCATGAAACCCAGCTCAATTTATTCAATGATTACAATTGCCATAAGTGGTAAAACAAACAAACTGATAGGAAATTTGTAAACTCAACTATCTATACCTAACGCCTACTTGTTGAACATCCTTTTTCAAAATCGCATTCACTTTCGAAATATATTCAACTTTAACACAAATTTAATTCGAAAAATTGAAAATCGATAGGATTTAATCTACAAACCGATAAACACTGATAACTATCGTGAAACGTAAACAAGCAAAATGACGAACGATATCGGAGATCTTTCTCGGTGAAAACAGCTAGTATTTCGAAAACACGGACAAACTATACTCGGTCTCGTTTCGAATTTGCTTTTTCACGTTTCCCGGCCTCGATGAACCACACATTTTCCAATGCAGCGAAGCGTTCGAACGACAACTGACAGAGACTGCATATTTCGCTTCGTTTACGGACGGATCGAAAGCATAGAAACGTTCTAGAAAAAAAGGCAAGAAAAAGAAAAGTGAAAAAGCAAGGAGAGTACGTCAAGGCGTTGACGTATCACACAGCTACACAGAAGCTGTTGAAACGAAACAATCACGACGAGAGAGTAGACGGGCAGTCTCACCTCGAATTTAATCCCGTGGATAATTCGCATCTGTTTGAGGAATGTCGACTTTCCGCTCTCGCCTGCCCCGAGGAGCAGCAGCTTAACCTGTCGCCGGAGTGCTTGACGATCCTTCTCCAACATTCGATCGATCTCCTGGCTCTTGTAACGCTGCTCGATCTCCTCGGGGCTGAACTTGAACCGCAGGCAACAAGTACACGACCACGTTAAGGATCCCGCCATCTTGCTACCCTGCTACCCTCCTCTTCCTTCCTTCCGGCGTTTCTTCCGTGTCAGGCTGCCCTTCCGAAGGAATATATCCTCGATCGTCCAAACACCGCACATACACACTGAGAGAGACACGGCAGACCCGTGTGTTGTACGCCGAGCCTGTGTTGTGTCGTACCGAGCAACGGGGCTGCCACCGAGTTGTTCGTGTGGCCGAATTGTTGGTGAACAACCTGTTCGTAATTGCACGGGGATCGGCGCACGTCGCCGTACTCAGAACCGCATTTTTCACCTAGGCGTAGCCGGGGGAACGCAACCACCGATTCCGACACATACAACACCGAGTCGACACGCTCTAACCGTGCGGGGGCTCTATCGTGCCGTGCCGTGCCGTTTCAGTGGACGTGCTCGCTTCGCCACGGGAACTCCGCGCACGCACCTACCGTTAATCGGCGAGGCTCACGCCGCTGGGCTGCCCACGATCGTCTCCTCCGGTTCCTCGCGGATTGGACATGATTAAATAATCGTTCTAATTGCCGAGTAACAGAGCCAACTGGCGCATCGTTCTCATTGCGCCTCGGCCCCTCGAAAGAGTACGAGGCGAGGAGAACCTCTTTCTCTCTCTCTCTCT